TGTCATGGTATTGGAACATTTTCAAGCCCTTGAGTGCAGAGGGCATAGATCTGCTTGAAAATTGGTGGTTTTGATATGCGGTGTCTAGGCGGATATTTTACTCTCACCTTCTGAGTTTTGCTTTGCATTTGGTATGAATGGCAGTCCAAAAGAAACTCATTTGGAACTGCCAAGTTTCAACTGACATTGTATGAAGTCTGCAAATTTTGCAAGATTTTGATGCACAATCATAAATCAGCCCAGAGGTGCTGAAAAGATTTACAACTCTCTGATGAACCTAGCTCAGCTTTCGAGTGTGTAGCAAAATACAACACTGTGGAGATGTGCGTATTTTAATTGTGAATATTTTGTATAGTTCTAGTGCTAATGTGCTCTTTTGTCAGAAACTAGGAACATAATTGACCTGCCACTCTATGGTGAGGTTTATCTAGTAACTGTGCAAGTAACCCTTCTGCTGTTCTCCCCAGAGATATGGAGACAAAAATTAACATTGGGGTAAACATTCCCCCAAATCCCAGAAACACTTCACTGCTGTTTTCCAGAGCATGTTTGTTCATTCATTTTCAAAACTTTTCCTCACCAGTATGAACTAAGGCTGTATACACAACTGACATTTTTTAAGCATTAGAAAATGTTTTCCATAAATAGAACTACTGAAATACACCTTAAGTAGTTAATATTAGTGCACTATTGGTGTTTGACAGTATCCTTAGAGCTCCAAACTGGGCGTATCTACACGTGACACTGTGTTGCCATAGCAACACACTACAGCGACATAGCATCTGCAGATACAAACATTGACACTGCAGCTACATTGCCATAGCAACACGCTCCCTTGTTATAGTGCATTTCTATGGTGACTTAGGGGGTAAAAATAACTGCACCACCAGCATGGTGCAGTATGGGCTGTTACTGTGCCATCCTTTAGTACTTCCAAAAGTACTTCCAAAGGGAAGTACTAAAAGATGGTGCAGTAACAATGACGCCTTAGGAATGTGTGTAGACATGCCCACAGAGTGGTATAACTTGAATTAGATTTTTCTGAGAAAAAAATAAGAGTACATGAAATAAATTAAGGAAATATAGTTCATCTAACCAAAGGTTTTCAGACTTAGGAAATGTATATGGACATGGCAAATTTGAAGTTTTAGAATAAAGTGTTTTTGGAGCTATTCAGACAGAAAAGATTCAAATTTGTTTTAAAGCATGAAAAGCAAATTCTTTTTATTCCCACACCACATTAAAATGATTCTATTGATTTTTCTACAAACCTCTTCCAAGGCTTTTTACCTTGAAGACCTTTGATACAGGAATGACTCTTTTGAATATAGGATTTAAAAATGATACCAAAATGTTACATTAATAGTGTTATTAGCATATGAGATGGTCTATACTATTTACATTTTGAATGGTGTTGAAGAGAACAGCTTGATGGGGACTTAAATAGGTCAGAGGTAGTTAACTGGCAGCACATGCCACAAGTGGTACAGGCAGATGCGGGGTTGGGTGCGGACAGGCAACATAGCAGCAGAAAGGGCAGAAAGCAGAGCATCAGATCAGGCAGGGAGCACAGGGGGGGGAAGAGAAAGCAGACCAGCAGATTGGACAGGAGAATGGGATTGGAGTGGCAGTTGGGTAGGGGTCAGAGCTAATTTTTGGCATGCCTACCAAAAAGGGTGGCCCCCACTGAAATAGATAGTCAGTAACAATACAGTCAAAAAGCCTGAGGCTAAATCAATTCAATCTTCACACATCAGTCTAAGTTGTCTAGACTGAACTGATAAACAAGTGAACAGACATTCACTTTTGCTTCTGGAAATGCAGCCATATGTAAAACATCTTGGGATCCTAGAGGACTGAGAGTTAATTTGAAGCTGGAGGAGATCTGGGACAGAAGTTCAATAAACTGATTTAACCTAAATCAGTTAAGTCTGATACTACATCCATCCAGGTTTATCTTAAACTGGTTTTGGCCATTTTGAAAGTGGTTTATGTGCACTGAACTTCTGTTGTGTTACAGATTTGAACTGGTTTTCCATCACTTATGTCGGTTTATGCGTAATTCCTGTCCCTAGCCCAGATGTGAGATTCTGAATGCCTTTATCAGTATTAATAGGCCACATTATGCCTGTGGGAAGAGGAAATTAGAGGTCTGGAAAAATCTGTTTGTTATAGGAACAATCTAGGGACGTCACCATTGACTGTTAAGGCATAAATTGGCATATGTGATCTGATTGGTTAATTACAAACCAGCACTCAAGATTGTTATTCTCTGCTGTTCTGTGCAAGTAGGAGCTTCCAACCCCTTAATATGACTTAGACATTCTGACTCATGACTGGCTTTCTCAAAGGTTATAATAAAAATGTTCAATTTGGAAAAAAAGGAGACAACACCAGCAAGCACATTGCATTCCTCAACATCACTTACTGAAAGTCAGAGCCATTAGGAGTATTAATGTTTCATGATAAGTAACATCAAGGTGGAGCAATTGTGAAGAAATTAAAAATAGTCTTCAGTTAGAGAATGTGTTTTATTTCAAGCCTCTCTTTAAATTAAGCAAAGGAATATTTTGTATACTTCCCCTCAAAGAAAGCAAGCCACAGTCACTATACCTATATCTTCCTGCCGTGAAACGGCTATAAGAATTTAATCTAACAAAGTGGTGTTAAGCAAATGATAAAAGGTCAAGAGGACCTATTTTTGGTAAGCTACCACTGTCTTTTTTGTAGCACTGTGCAATTTCTTTCATTTCCATAATGCTTCTTATTAAGGATGTAGTGCACAGACAGGGTGCATTGCAGTGGATGTGTTAAGAATAATTCTGACTAGTTCTGCCAGAATTTGTCCTAAGGTTCCCAGGGTAGAAACAGACATTAACTTTGTGCCTCCAGAAAATTTCTTGTGACAGCACAAAGGACAAGCAAACTCCTTGTCACACCATAAATACCCACAATTTGTGGCCCTGATTATCAATTTGTGCTATTTAGTGATGGCTGTCTTTTTACTTTATGGCACTTGGAGCTGCCCATACTCTCCTGCTGCCCCAGGCAAGTGCTCCAGAAATTTGAAGGGCCCTATCATATGTACTCTAGGAATTCCTGCACAGGACTGGGCCCTTCAAGCCCCAGGAGTGCCTGTCTGGTTTCCCCTGCTTATTGAGACATGCCCTGGGATTTCCAGGGTGTGTCTTGTAAGTGGGGAAAGTTGGGGTTTCCCCACTTACCAAAATGCTCCCCTGGGATCTCTCTGGTGTGTCCCCCCAGGACACATCTTGTAAATGGTAAAAAGTGAAGCAGGCACTCGCAGGACCTGCATGGGAATTCCCAGGCTGCACAGGACCAGGCCTCTCAAGCCCTGGGAGATCATGTCACCTGTTGTCCTGCAGCATCAATGGGAGGGACAACAGGCAATGTGTTTCACCCAGTGAAGTAGATCAGCTTCCGTTGGCAATGTCTGTTTCTAGACTCACATACAATTGTGGCAGCTCCTTTCCTCCTATCTGTATTATTTGCCAGGGGCCCTAGCTTGTGTCCTTTGGAGAAGTGAACACTAGCAGTAAGATAATACAAATCTTGCTCTTCTCCAAAGGCACAATGGGATGAAAGATAGGGTGAAATATGTCTGACCCTATTTTACATACCCAAGCAGAAAAAAATCATCCCTTGTATTTACTTCTATAATGCAGATACACTGGTAGATAATACTTTTGTGCATTTAAAGCCAGATCCTTTGCTGGTGTAAATCAGTTTACTTCAGTAGAGTTAAACTGATTTATATTGACTTAGATTCAGATGTAATAAAATATATTTCCAAAGAACATTAAGCCGTGTCAGTGTGCTCCAAATTCTTATGGTTGGAGGGGCTGGTTAAATGGAAGAATGCTTTTCTGTTTAGAACTGGGATTTCTGATGTACATTTTGTTTATAAATGTGTTTGATTATGTGGTGTTTAGAGATGTATAGAAGTCTATGTAGTGTTTATAGCTCTGAAGGCTTGATGTTTAGCTAGTCTAAATTTGTGTAAATTATTCTCATTCTGAGTCTTTTATGGTTCCTGCTTTTCCTGTCTCCATATGTATGTTCGTGGGCTCCTGCCCCTCTTCATTTCTATCAGTGATAATTATTGATTGAAAGCTCACCAAAGAGTCAGGGTCATGCTGAGATCTTGCCCATAGGCTTCCTGCAAACCTCCCCTAGATCAGACTGGCAGGTAAAAGAAGATTAATTGTCTTGGTTGAGTACAGACTGGCAGAGTGGGGAGATATACCAGTATATACTCTGTGCTATCCTTCCTGATGAAGTGAACTTAGGTTCATGAAAGCTTGTGTGCTCTCTCTTTATATATATGTGTCTTATTTAGTTAGTCTGGAAAGGTATATATCTACTGTGCCTTCAAAGTGGGGAGATATAATACCAGTGAAACATTCAGTGAGGATTCATAGTCCATTTTATCCAGCAACTATTAAAGGCAAGGGGAAGTGGCTCAGCTTCAAAAGTAGCACTGGAAAAGGCCTGGGATAGCACCTAATTTGTGGTGTGGCTTAAAAACAGTCAGATTGAAAGTCAGCAAGATACAAGTTTTGACCCCCTCTGGGTAAGGGAGGCATAGAGGCTAGGTCTTCTGCTTCCTGGGCAAACTCTCCAGCTATTACTGCTGAAACATGGGAGGACTCTTCTCCTTAATGGCAGTGTACATGTGTATGTAACCTCATAGCTGCCTGGCCAGTGCATATCCTGCTTTCTGTGCCTTCTATACATGGATATACTTACGTGTCTAAACTGCACAGGGAATAGAATCACAAACTTTGCGCCAGAAATGCCATTTCTGTGGTTGGGTAAGTGCCATTTAAGTGCACAAAAGGTAATAGGATTCCAGCCTGAATTGTTTACTTTATAAACAGAAGAACCAGAGCTCAGTGTTGAATGCTGAAATACTAAATAACAGGCACAGATAGCAAAGCTTTTGTAACCTGCTTCCTCTGTCTCGTTTTCTTCTATAGTTACATTGCAAACCAGCGGAAGTTAGAAAGTATAAATGACAATGAAGTTGGACTTTACATTGGATTGAGAAACCTGTGAGTATTTAGTATATTTATTTTTATTTATCATTAATATTTAGTATTTCTCATACAGTGGTGTTTAGAGGCACCAGTAAGGGAGCAGAGCCTATTTTTGTGTTATACACTGTACACATATGTTTGAAAAAAGATGCTTGTTGCCCTAAAGCACTTGCAATTTAAGTTTGTCTAAATCATTCCAAATCTTATTCTTGCCATTACTGTTTCATGCTATTGTTACTGAACAACGCTAACTCTTCTAATTTTATACGTTTTCATAGAACCGTGGTGGATTCAGGCTTAAAGTTCGTTTCTCGTCAGGCATTTCTGAAAAACATCAATCTGCAGTACATGTGAGTGAAAACATTTCATGTCTTTTATCTCCAAACTTCCCAGTGCTTGGTCTTACACTTACCTTTCTTACCATTCTCTTGGGATAAAAGGCTTTACAGAGAAAGATGTGTAAGGGAAAGTGGAACTTAATTTAGTGCAAATGGTTAGCGGGGTTGGCTGTTTATTTATTTATTTATTTTTTTGGTGGATCATTTCCACTCTGGAATTGGCAAAAGCTGAATTGTCCAGAGTCTTTTGTGGAAAGCTACTTAGAAAATTGACTACCTTAGCTTCCATTTTCTGTTGGTTTGCTTCTATGGCCCTCTCAAAAGTAGGTGTCTCTCAGTTTGAGAAATGCCAAGCAGAGGTCACTCCTGCTTTTCCCACTAAGGATTTGGATCCAGTCCTGCAAAGTGGTGTGGCGCACAGGGACTTAGCACTTCACAGGGACCCTGATTTAGGAAGTCATTCAAACATAGGTTTAAGTCCATCCATCTTCAGCAACTGCTTAACTCTAGCCATGTGCTTATGTTATGCCACAATCAAATAGACTTAAGCACCTCTCTAATGATAAACAGGAACTTGATGATCCTTAATGAGTTCTTTGTGTGATGGGATAGGACTGCTAATTTGGAGTCACACCTAAGTACTATGGCAGAAGGATGCTTTCTAAGGAGAATATACTCTAAGAGGAAGAAATTGATAGTAATTTTTAAAAAGTCCAGTTTTCTAGAACAGTAGTGGGGCATTATCCCTTATGTAGACCAACCACTAAAAATATGACACAGACTTTACAAGCTTAATGTAGCTACAATACCTAGCCATTAATAAAACAGGCATGCCAGTCTGTGACCAATTGGAAAGTAATGGAAATACCATCTAGAAGGAGAACTGGGTTTATGCTGTCTTTTCCTGTCTGACTATAGTAATTAAATTCTAGTTTCTTATGAATAATGATAAAAGATTAAATTCAATCAAGACAAATGCAAAGTACTACAATTAGGAAGGAGAAATCAAATATCCAAATATAAAATATGGAATGGCTGGCAAGGTAGTAATATTGCTGGAAAATATCCAGAACTAATAGTGGTCTCAGCTCAACATGAGTTAACAAGATGATGCTATTGCAAAAGGAGCAGATATTCAGCAGCATAACTATAGATGGGTGACTGGGGCAGGAGCCCTGGGCACTAGAACAGAGGGAAGGGGAGCTGGAACAGATATAGCTACATTGCTGCTGCAACAGCTATAAAAGCTCTGAGTGTGCAGAGTGGGAGAAGATAGGCTGTAAGGTGGTGTGGGCAATTATTTGGGTCCATTGGCCACATAGGCAGTTCTGGGGAGCTATTATGGGCTGGTCAGCAATCCCCATCCCTCCCCTTAACAGCCCAGAGCCAGTGTACCCTGTAGGTCCTCCCACCAGCAGCCAGCAGCCCTGGTCCACTGTCACCAGTGCCCAACAGCAGCTGAGTGCACAACCCCAGCCCTGACCCTGGCCCGCCCTGTGCCTACTCTGGTCTTGCTCTGGCCAGAGTAGACCAGCTTTGGACCAGCTGGAACCTGCATGCACAGCCCCGACCCCAGCCCACTTGTGCCTGCTTCAGACCTCCTGCCTATGTTGAGCAGTGGCAGCAGCATTGGTGGCCTCTGGTCACTGGCCAGAGAGCAGCCACCTCCTTGCCACTGCTGGGCCCTTCTTGCTGCAGCCACCCAGACTCCATGCCCGGGCTACCCTTCGGTTCCTTTTCATTGCCACTGCTGTTGCACTGGGTGGCCTAGAGGTGGTGGCAATAGCAGCTGAGAGGAGCTGCACAGCAGCCTGGGCATGGACTCCAGGTGGCTGCAACAAGAAGGACCCAGTAGTGGTGAGGGGGAGGTGGCTTATTTTCCTGTAAACCTAGCAGTGGCTTATGCCCGGCCACTGTTGCTGCTCAGCATGGGTGGGTGGTCTGGAGAAGGCATGGGATAAGCCAGGGTCGGGGCTGTGTGTGCAGGTTCTGGCTGGTCCAGAGCTGGTCTGTTGTGGTCAGGGAAAGTCCTGAGTGGGTGCAGTTCAGGCTGGGGTCGAGTCTGTGCACATGGGTCCCCACCAGTACCATGGGGCTGGGGCCAGTGGCAGCTGGAAGGAGCTGCTGCTGCTTGGTTTGTCTAGAAATGCAGTCCAGCTGCGAAGCTGCCTCAGCCCTGCTGCGCACCTAGGGACAGCAGGATGCACCACGGGTCAGGCAGTGCCTGGTCTAGGCCGGACTGAGGGACCTGCTGTGGGCCAGACAAAGTCCCTCTGTGGGCTAGATCTGGCCCGTGGGCTGTATTTTGCCCACCCCACAAGGTCCCAGCAGCTATAGCCTCTGGCAAATAGAGGGGGAAGGAGCCAGGAGGTGAAAGCAAGAAGGTACCCCCAGAGTTACAAAGTACAGGGCTTTATATCTTTATTCAGAATGGCATATGGTAGTGCCTATAGAATGCGGGCAGGTGAGAGGCTTAACTCCTTGGCTGGTTGGACACCTTTCTCCAAAGCTGCCAGGACCCTAGACCTTCTCTGGCTCCAGCCCCTGGCTCCTCCTTCATACCTGAGCAGCCAGAGCCCATAGCTGCTGGGACCCTAGAGCCTCCTGCCTTCATTACCTTGGTCCTGAACATCATCTGGAGCCTGTAGCTACCCAGGCTGCAAACAATAACAGGTATGCCTTCGCAGTCTGGGAGGTAGACAGAGAAGTGTTGTATGTAGGACACAGGAGTTACATAATCTGCTGGTGAGACCTTGATTATTTGTGTCTAATTTGGGGTAGGTACCATACTTGAAAAAAGATATTTACAAAATTAAGAAAATCTGGAGAGCATCAAGAATGATAAGATTTGTACAAGACCATGACCTGTGAGGGAAGGTTGAAGGAACTGTTTTAGTATATTCGGGGAATAAGAAGACTTAAGTTTGAGGAGAGTGAGGGGAAGAAGCCTTCAAACAGGGAAATCATATTATAGAAAGAGTAATCATCTGTTCTCCAGATGAGACGTCCTCCTTCTTCTCCCACAAAGTTAGTGCCTGAGTAGGTTTCCCCATTGACCCTGCCCTATTTATTCCATGGCTCAGAGGTTGTGAGATCCCCTTTGTTTGAGGTTTTAAGAACAAGATTTAAGAGAACCAGCCCCAACAATTGTTTTAGATAGATTTGATCTCAGAGTAGGGGTCTGCACTAGGCAATTTCTTGGGGTTCTTTCCATCCATACTTTCCTATGATTCAAAGAAGAAGGATGTGTAATTTTACTAGGCATAGGATAATTCAAGGCAAGACCAAAAATATTAGGTAGCAAAATTTGCTGCATTTACAAGTTACAAAACAGTTATCGTGGAGATATGTTGACCCAGACCTCTGGATTTATTATGCCTGAACACCCTTTGTTCACTTTTTTATGCTTTCTGAAGCTCCCAGTAGCAAAATACCTGTTTTTACTGGTAGCCTTAGCTATAATTTGGATGACTTTGTTATGATTTATTAAAAGCTGAAATTGGTCAGTGTAACCATATCAGCAAAAATCTTAGCAAAATTACTTGGTTGATTTTGTTTAATTTAAAAGCAATATTTTCCTAGCTATTTTGTACATAACTCCAAACATGTTTAGAAGATTCATGTAATTGTAAGAACTTTAATTTTCCTAATGACACTATTATAGCTTTAATCCTCTCACTTGAGAAGTCTTTTAATGCAATTGAAAAGCTTCATTAAATAATAAACACTGCATTCTTATAATATAAATCTTATAATAATATCATATTCTGAAGAACCTATTAACACACATTTGTTTAAACCCTTTAGGCATAGACTTCTTTTCTGGGCCAAATCTCTGCAGCCCAAATGGCTTTCTACAGCTGATGTACAATGATTATGATTCAGCAATAATATAAACAACAGAATATGAAATGCTTTAATAGATATCACTTAAATGTAATTAATAGCCTTGCTGGTTTAATTCTGGTTTCTCATTGACCTTGACTCAAATTACTCAAAAGTCACATTAAATGCACTATTAAACAATACTATTTTATCAGTGCTGTAATTTGTAAGCCCAGCAACAGCTAAAAGTAATTTTAATAGTTGTGTTTAATATACTTCCAATGAATTGTATTAATACCTTTTGACTACAGGAATAAAGCCCTCAAGCAGTATGTATTTCCTAAAATATTAAACATACACATATCTAATATTATGTACCAAGGAGGCACATAATTGCATACATTATATGCAATATATCTAGGTAGGATAGTGTGTCCATCAGTATGGTACTGTTGGCTTGTGTATGCTAGAAGAAGAGGCCAAGAACAGCCATGCATTGTTAGCATTAGCAAGCCTGTCCTAACTACAGCATTTTCCCTGGTATGCATGCAGGCTATCACCTTTTATCTTGATGTATCTGCCTTAGATTGCCCTCAGGTCCCAATTTAGCATTAATCTAGACAAGTTAAATCAAGGTTAACAGTGGTAATTTCTATCTACACTCAGGAAAATGTTGTGGCTGTGTCTGGATTAGTAAACACATGTTTAGAAACATGCATTGGATAATTCCTCTGATTTTTTTTTAAACCGTGTAAATGGGCAATGGGCATTTGTTTGAAAAACTGAGAAAAGCATCAGGAGTAGAGTCCATGAACTGAGTTTAACAATGGCTTTGCCTCCTTTCTTCCCTGCAGAATTCTGTCAAGCATAGCATAGGGTTACCATATTTCCAGGTCCAAAAAAAAGAACACCTGTCACTGCGGGTGGTGGGAGGAGGGTTAGGGTTATATAATGGTGGGGGGAGGGGGCAGTGCCATGCCCCTGTCCCTGCCCCTTCTGTTGCCCCTCACTGACAAAGCACATGCCCCCCCTCCATTGCTGGTACCCCTCACTCCTGACTCACTGCCCCCTGGTACTGCCAATGCCCTGGACACCCAACCCACAGTCACCCATCCCCTCCTCCATGCCCTTCACTCCTGATCAGCAGCCCCCTGCCCCGCTCTCAGCCCTGCTGATGCCCCTCACTCCCTACATACATCCCTTGCCCCCCTGCCAGCCCTACTGGTGCCCCTCACTCCCAACCTGCAGACCCCTGCCTCCCCCAGTCCAAGCAGCTCCTGCATTGCATGCTCACCTAGTCTCTCACACACGCTCACTCTCTCTCCCTGGCTTGCTGTAGCCCACATGGGGTGTATGTGACCCCCAGCAGCCAGTCACCTTGCCTGCTGCTCCCAGCCCCAAGCAGCCAGCCCAGGAGAGCAGAAAACCTGGACATCTGCTCTTATTTTAAAAACCTGCCTGGACTCAGCACAGGGGTCCAAAAAAGAGGACATGTCTGAGAAAACCCAGACGTATGGTAACCCTAGCATAGCATTGACTATGTCTGCACTATGGAAACTGCTTTAGCTGCAGCTTGTGGACACAGCTGAGATAACATTAAAATAGCCACCTTGTTTATTGCTAACAATTTAGTTGTTACACAGCAACACAGAGGTTAGCTTGGGCTAATTGCTTGAATATTTACTCAGCTGCTTGAGTGGTTTAGTAGCCTGTGTTAAGCTCCAAGCTACTATAGGCACACTACTAACCATACCCAAACTAGCTTGTTTAAAGATAGCTTAGATGTGTGCACACAAAAATACAGTCACACTTTTGACTGCAGTGTACTTATACCTTTATGTATAGCTGAAGACTTGCACCTTTTGCTCTGTTATCAGTTTTGTGTATGTGCATAGTTATTGTTGGGGCTGCCAGCTACAATATGTATTGTCATGTAATTGAACTGAGGAATTCCCTTCAAACTACCCTTTCACAAAGACTAGCATGGTTCATGCCAACCATTTAGTAACCCTGTTTTGTGTATGCTTTCCTGGGTTTGTTTTCCTGGTAGAAAAACTTGCCTGGAGACACCTGAATAGACATTTGAATGCTAAGCCCTTGAGGAGCAGAAGGCTCACAGTGCTGATGCTGCATAGCTAGGGAATCCCTGTACACACGTCTCAGCATGCTCTGCAGACTCCCTCAGTCTGCCCAGAGACAGAATGGTAACAGTGCACAGGGCAGCCCTGATTGGTGACCCAGACTGCTCAGCCTATGTCCCCTGCAGCATAATATAGGGATTATGAAGCGAGGCTTGTTCAGGTCCCTGTTTGGCTGGAACACTAGAGTTCTGCCCAAGCTACATACTTTTTCTTGGAGGAGGGGAGGAAATCTGGGAGCAAAGCACTCTGGGATGCTGGAGAACTGTGCTGCAGCTCATTTCAGAAAGGAAAGTGTACAGACATTTACTCTTCCAAAAGAAGCTCTCCTGGGAGCAATTTAACTTTGTTTGTTTCCAGGTTATTTTTCTGCCAGAGTGGCCATTTTTGTTCTGGGAGAAAAATTCTGAACATCTGTACACTTTTGGATTCTCCTGGGAAATCTGCAGCTCTCCCAGGAGAAAATGAATGTCTTTACATGGCCTGTTATGTGTATTAAAGGGACTGAAGCCAAGCTTTCAGTAATCAATATAAAGTGCTCAGTTTATAAAAATTATATATAACAATAAATTCACTGACAAAATATAGCCCAAGAAAATAAATTTATAACATAGGGCTTAATCATTTCAATTGAATTACATGTCATTTTGAGAAATCTGTAGGCTTTCAACTACATAGAAGGAAAGAATAGTCATGAAGCACTAAATGTGTCAGGCCATAACCTAGAATAGTCCTGGATTTCTGTTATTGGTTTTTAATATAGTAAGCCAGATTCTGATCTAGCTTGCACTGATATAAATCCAGAACACTTTATATGAATTCAGTGTAAGTTGGCAGAGAGTCAGGCCCAGGGAGTTGCTTTTGATTTTTTAAATGGTGTTTCATAAAAGTAATCAATTTTTTTATGCTTGAGGTAGTTTCCCTTGAATCAATGGGTCAAATATTTCATTGACACATTTACACCTGTACAATGTGTTCAGTTCAGCAAGGAAACATTTTGTATTCAATTTACGTGGGTGTTGCTGATTATGTAAGTGGGACCAGCTTTCCAGTGTCAGGACAGGTAGTTGTATATGTCTCCAAAAGTAGAAAAGTAGGTGCCTAGAAGGTTAGGTGTCAGCTGAGTGGGAGTTATGAGGATCTCAGTACTACCTAACTGTTGGAGTTAGAAGCCTAATTACTTTTGTGTATTTACCTGTGACTGTCAGCCTTCCAGTACAAAGTTTATCTACATTAGAGAAAAGGTCAGGATTAGCTAACCATAGCATCTTCCCTAGATGCAAATGATGCCTTTTAATATGGGTGTGCCAATCGAGATTTTTTGGGCTGATACCGATGGCCGATTTTTTTAATGAGCCGTATCAGCCAAAAACGATCCAGTTACCAATATGTGGCCTGGCAGCTTGGAAAGCAGTGTCTGGCTGGTAAGTCTGTTGTGGGGGAAGGGACGTGTGTGTGTGTGTGGGGGGGGGCAGATTGAGGCCCTCACAGTGAGGGAGGGAGCAGACCTAAGGCAGGGGCAGGTGCTGCCCAACCGGAGCAGGGTGTAGGACAGAGCTGTGACTCTTTTGGGGGATGAATGGGGGTGTGGGGCAGCTCCTGTCACTATACACACCTCAGGAGCGCATGGGGGGCACGTGCTGTCAGATCTGTATGCAGGGCGGGGGCGGGATGGGGCGGGGGTTGGCACCAGGCTCTTCCCAGCTGGAGGCTGGGCCAGGGCTGTGTACAAGGTGGGTGGCAGCGGCACTGGGAGCGGGGCTACTGCAAATTTTGGGGTGGCTCTAGTTCCCCCCTCCCATAGCTCCCTTCCCAGTGCCTCCTGCCCCAAATGCAGCCTGGCCCAGCCCCCCCCCGACCAGGAAGAGCCCAGTGCAGCCCCAGCCTACAGTGGCAGCCTGCCTTTGCCCCGCACACAGGTCTGGGGGGGTCACACGCCCCCCATGCCCTCTGAGGGTGGTGCAATGGCAGTATCAACCCCCCCTCCCTGTGTTCCCTAGACAAGCTGTGGCTCCATCCTTTGCCCTGCCCCACCTTGGCTGTGCAGTGCCTGCCTGAGTGCCAGCTCCACTCCCTCCCTCACCACAGGAGCCTTGATCTGCACCCCCATGCCCCTTCTCTCTCCCCGCCCCTTCACTCACAACAGATTTATCAGTCAGACTCTGCACTCCTGGTCACATGCTCTGTGGCTGCGCACATGCATGGGACATTTATCAGCGACATTATTGGTGACATCAGCCAAAAAAAGCCAATAATGTCATTGCCGATAATGTCAATTTTCCTTCTATTGGTACTGATATGATATGGGACTGATGTATTGGTACACCTCTACCTTTTAAACTTGGTTAATATGGGCAAAATCACTTTGGCCAAAAAATATCTTAAGGCTGACCTTGACCGAATGAAAGGTGCTAATGCAACACAGATCTATACTGGGGCAGGGTGGGGAGCGGGGAGGAGGGGTGAGAGTTGCAGTTAGGCTGAGCTAACCATTTTACAAGAGCTTGTATATTATATTTGGAATAGTCTATAAGGGTGCCTATACATGTGCAGTGAAGCTGCTCTGAGGCACTGTGATTACAGTGCATCAAGAGCAGACTTGATTAATCAAGTCTGCTGGAGTGTTGTAGTTACCATGCTCCAGCAGATTCCAGCATCTCATGTATTAACGTTCCTGCACTGAAAAATGTTGGTGGGGGTCCTTTAAGTTTGAGCTTTAGTTTAAAACACCCCTGCCACCATTTTTCAGTGTGGGGATATGGCTATATGAGCCGTTCTAATTAAAGTGCCCCCCCCACTCCCTTCAATCATGTATATAATCGCCCTGTGATTAAGTGTTCAATAGTCTAATTTCAGGAATTTCTTTACTAGAGGGAACCAGCAAGTGTAGGCTAAAAATTGTTCATAAGGTCTCATTTTTAAAAAATGTTCTAACTTGTAATTTTCTCAGAGATTCTTCTATAGTCAAAGATTAAGCACTAGAGTTTTAGGAGGAGACATTATACACTTTTTGCTTAATAGACAGGTTTAATCCTTGATTTAAGTGAATATCTCAGTATATCCTTCTTAAGTATGGATCCCTATGGCGCCTTCATAAATCCACAAAAAACCTCATATGGTTCTTTGGCTAATGCTTCTGATTTGTACTGGGCTGCTGGCATTTTTACATCTTACTGATCTCTATGCTGTTAATATGTGTACCTCATTTTTGGAGGGAGGGAGAGGAGAATATAGAGCTACCTTGTTTCCCTTGGTTGGGAAAGGGAGGTTTTCTGATTAAGATGACTGTTTTGGTGTCCCAAGTACTGGGAGACTTTCCAGTTACTTATAATTGGAAGCACCAAATGCTTAATTGATGTAAAAAACCTGTACTTTAAGCATTTTGCAGTTTTGCTTTTGATCTTTCATGTGCATGCATATTGCACATATAATTTAATAAAAATAACTGAAAGGCTTATGATGAGGATGTGTGCTAGTATGTGGACAGAGTTTAGGTGAGTATTCAGTTTATTGCAGAATCAAAGAAAGCATGGGAGGCTCCCTTTTTGCTTATGGATAATTTGGGCCTATAATTAACAACTGGACTTTGCATGGGTTCTTTTCAAAATAATTAAAGTCACTATATTTTTCTGTATGGCCAAAATGCTAGAAGTGAACATTTTTACCAGTGTTGAATTTGAGCCCTTAACTCCAGACGTGTGCTAGATTAGCATCCTCAAAACAGTGTCAAACTGGCAGGAGAATATGAGGCCCAGTCCATCTCCAAATGAAGTCAATGGATACAGGAGGGGATGAGACAACCAGCATTACTAATTAAATTGAATTAAATTAATTGTCAATTAAAACTGTTTTCTTCTTTCCTCACAGTAATTTATCCAGAAACAAGCTTTCAAGTTTATCTAAGAAGCCTTTTCGCCATCTGAGTTTGTCTGATTTGTAAGTACTGATCCTTTTAAGTGAAATGTATTTGTGGGTTAGAATGGAGGAACAGTCTGAGGGCACTGGGGGCTCAGTTTATTGAAGTCTGTAAGGGTCTGTCCAAACACAGGGATGAAGTCCTGACCTCCTGAAGTTAGTAGGAGTTTTGCCACTGATTTTAAAGAGGCCAGATTTTCATCTGAGGTTTTTTAGAAGATATGAGATTCTTTTTGTATAACTGCATTATTTTAACAAGGGTATTTATTTAATACAATACTTGGTGAACACGTGATCATATTGTTCTCTTATCTCAGCAATACAAATTAATATGTGGTTTAAACATGCCTTTTCCTGTTAGCCTGTTTTGTTGTGAGGTTATTTCACATGGAGCTGTAGGCTTTTCTATTTAAGAGGGGTTGGCAATCTACAGCCCATGGTCTGGGTCCAGCCCATGGAGAGCTTGTATCTAGCTTGTGAAGGTCTGATTCAGAAAATTGGGGAGAAGTACCTATTTAAAGTGGATGTGTTAAATTGGTGATTTAAAGGGGCCATGTTAAAGTGGCAACTTAAAACCTCCTGCTCTGTGCCCTTGCTTCCAAATTTGCTGTTCCCTTTTGATGTTCACCATAGTTTTGGTAGCACCCAATAAGTGGAGAGGGACATAGAGCAGGTAGGGGATTGGAGCAGCAGAGGACTGTGGGCAGAAGTGGTGATTGGCATCCTATAGTGGTGGCCAGGTTGCAAGCACCTGGCCTGCCACTCCAAAAGGTTGCTGAACCCTGTGAATATAGAATTCTGAAATGCCCTCTGTCAGTGAAACATCAACCACTTAGAGATACTCATTTGAAGTCTGCTTATCATTTCCTTACATATATTGGCTACACAGTTGTGCTTGTTGTTAGGGTTGTGTGAAGCTTCGGTCCCTGATTCAATTCAGCGGAGATTTGGCCCAATTCAGTGGCTGAATTTGGAATCCAAATCAAATCAGAGGACCCTTTAATCTCTCCTAATTGAATTGGAACCCTCCAAATCGATTTGGAGAGATTTGGAAAGATTCGGAGATTCAGACATAGAGACAGCTTTAAATGTTTTTTCTGCGTACCTCAATGTAGCAGGGGCTTATAAGTGCTGTGATGCTGGGGTGCACGGAGTGTCCCACAAGCATAGGGGACTCCCCAGCACGCTTGGCAGCAGACCCGGAAGTGGACCAGAAGCACATCCAGTCCACTCCTGGGTCCACCAGGGAGCATGCTGGGGGCACCCCCATGCCCCCCCCCGCACAGTGACTGGTGCCTCCTGGGTCTGGGGGGTATACCCGGGGTCCCCCTGCAGCTGATCCCCAAGCCAGGGAGGCACAGATGGGGGCCACCAGCACGCTCCCTGACACACCTGAAAGTGGATCGGGAGTACTTCCGGTCCACTTTCTAGTTTGCTACCAAGCCTTTGGAGGCTCACCCCCACCCCGCCCCGCACTCCTATGGAGTGCTCCATGCACCTGAGCATCGCAGCGCTCACAAGCTGTGCTGGTACCTTGAGGTATGTAGAAAAAACTTTTAAAGCTGTACCTATGTCCGAATCGCTGATTCTTTGAATCAGCATCGAATCTTCAGATTCAGATTCGGACAAATCAAATCAGGGACAGCGATCCAAATCAACAGATCAAATCACTGTACCTGATTCGGGCCGAATCCGAATCCAAATTGAATAGGGCCCACTTTACACACCCCTACTTGTTGGCTGCTGAAAAATATATTCCCTTAAATATAAAATTGTTTTGAGCCATTTCCCCTTGCTCAATTGGCTGCTTTATTTTCCGTTCTCTACCCAGTCTTCCGCTCTGTTTTCTGTGCCACAGGTTGGCCACCCCTAGTTTGGTTAACTTAAACAGAGAAGACTAAATATTTAACCAAAAATGAGAAGTGAGTCAGTAGAACATATAATAGCAAACCTGGGAGATCTGGTTACTGTATAAAGCTCTAAACAACTAGATTCCCACATTGGCTTCTCTCATAACTTTTTAGGGTCTGTGTTCTGTGTTTTTTTGTTGAAAGGTATAATAGAAGAAAAGAGACTTAACTAAGGCTTTGAACTTCATACTTCAGGACTTTATTTTAGAGCTCTGCAGGATTTGGATTCTGGAGAAATAAATGGACAAGGTAGAAGTACAAGCCAGGAAGTATGTGTTGTAATCCTGAACGTCTTTTGGTACACATTCCCATTTCAACACACAAACCCCTATGCACTAAAATTATGGCTCTCAGACATGTTTTTTTTTGATGATTAAGGTGGCATAGTCATTTTCTTTACAGCTCAGGGAACATCACTCACTGAAATTTCCCTTCATAATTTGACAATTGCTGAGTATTCAGATGAAAAGATAAGTTGGCTACAAAACACATCCATTTTGTTGGATAGCTGTGCACTTTTTTTTAATAACTCAGTCTCCCCTGACACAGTCTCTTCTTCCACCTGCAGTAAGTTTGCCCATGACTAGCTGGAATCACTCCAATTGTATTCAAACAGAAGGCAGTGAAGAATGACACCTCACAGTCCAACTCATTCAGAGAGGCATAAGATTTTCTAGGCAACTGTTAGATGATGAAGTAAGCTGTTACCTACATAATCTAATGTCTTTCTGAACCTGTTAGTCTGTAAGGTGCCACCCTGCTCTGACTTCAGACTAACATGGTGAGTTACTTTTCTCTACCTGTTACATACAAGGAGTAACTAAAATTTGCTCATCGGCTATACTTACAGTTCCTGCACTCTCTGTAACAGGTGGCCAGTTTCTTATAGGAGTGACAGTCTTGAAAGGATTTGAGGGAGTAGAAGGTAATACAACCCTACACATCTGTTCAGTAAGACCATAGGAAAAACTGATACCTTTGTCTCTGTCTTTGAAGTTGTTGAGATCCTGTGCAGAGAAGGAGGGCAGCTTAGGATGGGGGCTATGGGAATCAAAGACTGTGAATGAGTGATAGGAAGTGTGGCAATTAAGTTTATCAGTAAAACAGTGCTTATTGGCAAAATATCCAGCTGACATGAGATAGGAGAGAACACATTTGAATTATAATCATGGGACTTGTGCCATGGGCATTCAGCAGCATGATACCAGGAGCACCAGAAATGGTTGGTGGGAGTAAGGTAGAGTTGAGGAAAATAGGAACTGTGAAGATAAATTGATATATGTTTGGCATAGTACAGTGATGATGGCCAAGTAAATAGGTAGATGACAGGCTTTGGGGAAGTTAGAAACAGTTGAAGAATTGGGGGAATAGAGGTGGGAGGTACTAAAGGGCATAGAATGGGTGGTAGCAGGTAAGTGGGATGTAAAGAAGGAATAGAGGTCAGAGGAATGAATATTAATCATGGCGCTGTTGATAACTGTATTTATGCAGGTGCATGCTCCAGGTCTCATTAGCTTCCGGTGATGCAACTATTTACTTTGCTATTTTTTTGCTCCACTTTTGATTTCCTTCTCTGTTTTTATCCCTCTTTAATCTTAAAAAGGCATGTTAGGAATTGTAGATACCATAGAGACCCCTGCAGGTTAGAGATATAAGACCCCATATGGCCCCCTCTTGTTGCCATGATCTTAAACAAACAAAGATTGTGGTGGATTAAGAAACAGGGAACAAAAAAAAAATGGTTTTCAAAGTGTGTGTGTACAACAGGGGAAAGAAGTTGAATTCCATCATGATGCTGACAGGTTAGAGGGTCATTCCTGAGCACTAGGGGTGCACCAATAGAGATTTTTGGGGCCAATACCGATAGCCGATATTTAAGGAAGGACATTGGATGATACCGATCCAATTTCTGATACAGCTGCCGCCAGCTGGTAAGTGGTGGAAGGGGAGGGGAGAGGGAAGGGGTGTGGGGGGGGCAGATCAGTGCTCCCTGTGCTGAGGGAGGGGTCAGGGGCAGGCACTGCCCAGGTGGGGTGGGGGGGCCGGATCCGCGGCTTGTAGGTGGGGAGGCAGCTCCTGCTACTGCTTGCAACCTGGAAGGGGGGGCGTGTGCCCCCCAGATCTGTGTAGGGTAAGGCGGGGGGAGCTGTCGCCGGGGCTGCATGGGGCTCTTCTCAGCAGGGGCTGGTTTCAGAGTGGGTGTCAGCGGCACTGGGAGGATGCTGCATTCACTCCAGATTTCACTGCTGCTGTACTCCCAGTGCTGCTAGCCACCTGGCGCAGCCCTGGTTCTTTCTGGTGTGTGGGTGAAAATGAAGTGTTGAGCCAGGGCGTAGCTGGTTGGCTGGCAGGGGTGGTGCTAGGAGTGGAGAAGCGATGAAATTTGGGTTGGATGCAGCATCCTCCCAGCACTGCCAGAGTCCACATGGCTGTGCACAGCACGGGCATTTATCAGATAAATTGTCGGCCCCATCAGGCTGATATCCAATATAGCCAGTTTTCTTTATATCAGTACCGATCCAATATCAGACCAATGTATCAGTGCACCTCTACTGAGCACCAAGCTACATATGCTGCCCACATTGAATTGTCAGTGGAGATGGTAGTGCTAGTGCTGTCTCTGCTTTTAAGAAGAAAATCTTTGGACAGTGTGCATTGCAAAACACATTCTCCAAAAACTATATGGACTCTGCAAACAGATAAAAGAGGATGAAAGGGAAGGTAGCCATTTTTGCCTTGTTGCCTTGGTAATCCCCTTTCAACAACTGTTTGTCTAGTGAAGATTGCTGACTGCTTCAGTTCAACTTCTGACTTTGTGAATAGGTACCGGAAGCCTGAGAATGTGCATTTGGTACTATCAATATATTTGTATAGCCTTTCCCACTGCCCTACATTTTCCAGATCACTTAGGCCCTAGCTGTACAGTTCAGTGACTTTCTGGCTTCAGTCTTTGAAAACAAACATGCCCTGGTTCAACCAACTGTCCATTAGAACAGTGACTGAAGTAGGGTTCTCAACTCAATATATGTATATTTTTTACTGACAACCAAACTTTTTTACAGTGGTTGTTACTCAACACCTAATTTGAACCCTGCCTTTGTCAATGCCATCCACATCTGACAGAAGAGTTATATTTACATTATGTAAAACATGTCAGTTAAAAAAAAATCAGCAAAAAGTTTGGTTGTCAGTAAAAAGTTTGCAGATTGTCATTAAAACAAATTTCTTGGGTTGGCAACCCTGGGCCAAGATGAGGTAGAAGATATTCCTCAGACATTGGAGAGGAAGAGAACAAGATGCTGCTTTGAAAAGCTTCGGCTTTTAGAACAAAGTTGTAGCTACAACTTCAAAATAACAGCAAATAAGATTAAAAATGTGTAATTGCCTCTTGCTGAATCAGATTCTCTCTTTCATGTAAGTGCATTAAGGGTACCATCATGCTTCTATGCTACCCTCCTCCCGACTTTCCACAGAATGTCCCCAGGGGGAGTTGTTACTCATCTTTTAAGCAATGGAAGAAAAGGGCTACTTGGTTGTTTACCAAAGAAAAAGATTTTTTTTTATAGAGGCTCTGGATGAATTTAGTGTAAAAAGAAGTCAGAGCTTAGAACTCACTACTGAGAAGATGAAGGGACAGTTCTTGGTATCTTCATGAAAGGCGTGTGCCCCCAGCAGCCGGCGGGGCATGGCTGTGCCCGTGGCAGCGGGAGCACGGCAGTGGGGGGAGCTCAGCAGCAGTGAGCAGGGAGGTCCCACAGATGCTGCCAGCACTGTCGGCAGTGGGGAGGGGGTGGCAAGCGTCAACCAGGGGTCAGCAACCACCTGCAGGTGCTGCCAGCGGTGGCAGCCAGGGGCGATCATGGACTGCCTGCAGACACAACTGGTGGTGTTGGCAGCGGGGTGGCAAGTGGTGACCACCCGCAGGTGCCACCAACAGTGGCAGTGGCTCCTTTTTGCAAGGGGTGCACTGCCACACACAGGGACTGCATGTGCACCTGCGTGCACCCCTTACACATTGCCCCTGGGTATCTTTATATCTCTGACAGTCTTTTAAATCCTCACTTGCATGAGTAATTCATTTTTTACACTAGTGGTGCCACTGAAACCAATTAGATGATTTGCTGGAGTATGAATTCACAGGATGAGTTGTAGAAATGGTACCTGCAGCTTTGTACTCTGAAATAAGTATGTGTGGTTAAAAGAAACGGGTTGCATTTCTGAGAGAGTGACTCATGGTTTTATCTTGATTATTCTACAAGTATAGTAGTTTAAGTTGCTGCCTAAAAACTAGAATGAGGTTTTAATTCTTAAAGCACCAGATTTTGCATGTGATTTAATATGGTTTTGTAGCTCATGGTTATTTGTGAAATTTCATTAATATTTTTTCTAATGAAACGTCTTGAGGATTTGTAAAGAAAAGTGGAGAAACTTATCCGTTGGACCCTCCATTTCTTTTAGTAGAAAAGGTGAGCTACTGGACCATTTCTGAGCTACATGCCCAGAATTTCTTGTTCTGCTTCACTTGGGGTTTGTCATAATATGCGTGGTAGTTGTTTTCATGATTATTAAATTATAAATCACATAGATTTACTAAGGATTGATTTATATTTTTATCATGCTCTTTCTACAGGTCTATAGTAATAAAAGTTCAGCATATGCATCTCCATTGTTTGCTTAACATTTCTAGTGAATAGTTGTTAGAACTTTTCATGGTGTTATCTGCCAGACTGACTATGGGCGTTTTCTTTTTACAGGCACATATAATTCTTGTTTAGAAGTAGGACCGCTAGAGTTTGCCCATAATATAGAATTGCTTGGGTTCATAAAAAGTGCACCACCTACAGCAATTAATCTCTTCTGTAGTGTGCTTTATAAATTGGTGAATTAGATAGCTACAAAGTAGACTCTGATCTCTGTGATAAGGCTGATCCTACAGCTGCTCCAGTTTTTACACTGGCCAAATTGAGTTCAAAGTTTGGCTTTATATTTGGTATCTCAGATCTGTAATAGAGATCAATGGCCAGATTCTACATTGGTGAAAATGGATATAGTGCCATTGACCATATCAGGAACCACACATCTTTGTACAAGGTGGAGGTTGAGGCTTTATTGCTGTAACTTTATTATGCAAAATATTTAATTTTTAACCTGATTGTGACATAAAAAATAGTGTTTCTGTGCACATCACATCAGTTGAATTTTTAAGAAACTATTTGGTTTATCTTTTGCTGTAGGATCCTAGTGGACAATCCATTCAAGTGTTCCTGTGACATTATGTGGATCAAGATATTTCAAGAGACCAAGTTTTCTAATGCAGAAACTCAGGATTTTTATTGCATAAATGACAACAACAAGAGGATAGCCCTGATGGAAATGCAGATCCCAAACTGCGGTAATAAACTTTAATAACTAAAGTAAAACAATTAAGTTGCCAACAGGCAGGAAAACAAGTATAGTTTTAAAGTAGATCAAATGTCAGGTTGGTATTTGGTATGCTGTATGAAATGTTCTTGACCTCCGGAAGAAGGTTAAAAAACAGCATGTGAATCTTGATACCATGTGAATTAATGATGGGACCTTGAGTTGAGTTAGAATAACTTTGTTTTATCTAAGAAAAAAAATTAAGATATGACAGTTATTCAAAAATGCAGCAAAACAAAAAGCCTACTTCTGGAAAATGCCATTATTTTTATCAAACAAAATGGATGCTTCCAAAATGAAGAGCTTGTCTTGCTTTCATAGATTTCCTACATTAACAAAACTTTCATTTCCCTGCAAAAATGAACACTGCAGTGTTCTTTGCATGACACTTGAAATGTTGGCCCTAAATTGTGCCTATTCAAAAAAGAAAACAAACACATATTTTTGCATGTAGATCTCTGCATGCACAATTACTAACTGACTGATGGGAACCCTGCTGAATCCACTTTGTGTGGGTTATGCAAAATGGACACTGCAAATTTCCGCCTGTAGTACCTGGCAACATACCAGGGACTTCTGGTTAATATGAATTTAGGGAGGTTCAGTTGTATGATCAATCATTTTTCTTCCAAGGGATCCGTGGACATTTGTCTGATATTTTTCAGTTCTTACTAGTCGGAGAGGTTTTCCCTTTTCCTCAGAACTTGTGGCACATGAGAAGTGTGGAGCAGCTGAGCTGGCCTTTAGGCATGTTTGACTTAGTGACATGTACAAGAATATAGTAAGTTTTAATTGGTTTTCTTAGCGGGCCAGACATTATAGGATGCCCTGAAGCAGGCCTGGAAGAAGGAGGGTAGGCAAGGTAGAGGGAATGTATTTGGGTGGGGAAAATGGTAATAAAGAGTTAAATTAGGGTTGGGATAGCAATATGATAGTAATGAGCCTCTCCTGCTATTCTTTACTCTCCTGAGTGTCCTCCTCTCCTCTGACCTTGCTGGCTGTACTGCAGACTAGGGCTGCGTGAAGCTTCGGTCATTGATTCTATTTGGCAGAGATTCAGCCCGATTTGGTGGCCAAATCTCCAAATCCAAATCAAGTCAGGAGACTCTTTAATCTCTCTGAATTGAATTGGAACCCTCCTAATCAATTCAGAGAGATTCAGAAAGAGTCAACGATTCAGATATAGACACAGCTTTAAATGTTTTTTCTACATACCTCAAGGTACCAGGTGGCTCATGAATGCTGAGATGGTGGGGCAGATGGAGTATCCTATAGGAGCACAGGGGAAGGGGCGGGGTCCCCAACATGCTCGGCAGCAAACCCGGAAGTGGACCAGAATCGCTACTAGTTCACTGGGAAGCACACGGGGGGGGCCGCGCCCTTCTCTGGCTGCAGCGACTGGTGCCTCCTGGGGCCCCCTGCAGCTGATCTCTGCAGCGAGGGGCCCCCAGGGGCCCCCTGCAGCTGATCTCTGAGCCAGGGGGGTGGGGGCCCTGGTGTGCTTGGCAGCGGACCCGGAAGTGGACCGGAAGTACTTCTGGTCCACTTCCGGCTTTGCTGTTGAGCATGCAGGGGGCCCTCCCAAGGTCCTGTGGCATGCTCCATCTGCCCACCATCGCAGCATTCATGAGCCACACCTGGTACCTGATGGTATGTAGAAAAAACATTTAAAGTGGTGTCTGCAGCTGAATCGCTGATTCTCCGAATCAGCATCGAATCTTCAGATTCAGATTCAGCCAAATCGAATTGGGACAGTGATCTGAATTACTGACTTGAATCACTGTCCCTGATTTGGGCTGAATCTGAATCAAATACGGCCCATTTCGCATACCCCTACTGCAGACCACTACGGTTCTTCATAGTGCTCTGATCTTTGCCTGAAACATGTAACCAGAGATGAACTGGGTGCAAATTAGTGGAATGCTGGGTTAATATCTTTGTGTGTAGTAAATGCCATTGTCCTCTTGTCCAGTTCTCCATTGTAATAGGAACAAGTTATACAGTTATACCCTTTTACCAGATATAGACATTCAAAAAGCCTGCGACAGAACCAATATAAATTACGTGGTTTTATGTAAGCAGTGTAGTTTAGATTGGTAACAAACGGAACACATGTGCTCTTTGGTTGGGTAGAGGAGTAAATCTTAGTCCTGGTTCTGCCATTTTAAAACCAGTCTGTGTGCAGAGCTTCTGTTCTGTTATGAGTATAGATTGGTTTCCATTCGGTTATACCAATAAAAGTATAATGTCTGTACCTAGCCTTAATCATTAGCTAGCTGTAGCTGGAAACCCACAGTAAGTAGGGATGCTGTGAGCACTGAGAGTTAGATTCTGAGGGCCCCACAATAAGAAATATGCAACAATACTTCTACTATGTTCTTGAGTGGCTAGTGATTTGAGAGCAAAAAATATATTACTGACTTCTTCCATGTTTATGAGCCATGCCAGTGACAGAAGAAGGAGAGAAAGGAGTAGGAGTAGAAGGCAAGAGCAAAATGGAATACAGAATTAAACTATTTTTCCAGTCTTAAGTAATCCTCACATAGCATTGAGCAAGCTTTTTCAGCAGCCTCTTGACTTCTTCACTTTTGTGGGTCAGAAAGAAAAGCCAGAGTATTGTCTAATTTTGTAAATGCCTTTTGGAAGGGTTTCAGGCATGGGGCACAAAACAGAGGCACCCCAAAACAGTCCTGTTATGCTATAGCTGCTCAGAGACAATGTAGGGATGAGTAATATTCCAGTATTTTCTTCCCTTTTTAGCTAAAAACACATAGATAGCTAAGGAGGCCTTTGGCACTAAGCACTGAAAATTATGGGACATTACCTGCTACTGAGTTCTTGAGTGTCTGCAGAAACATAAGCCATTCCTCAGAACTTGGTGACCTTTGCATGTCTGCACAGCTGCCTGAGAGACCTTTACACGATTGAGGACATGGACTGGTGTTATATTTGTAGTTAGAAATACACCCTTTCAGCACTGAAAGAGCTGAGCACACAGTTGTTCAAATGGCTTGTCCTGGATAAAATATGGTTGTTCCCATGGAGCGACATCATCCAGCCCACAGGGCTCCCCAAGGCTAAGTATAGACAGTCAAAAAGCCTGAGGCTAAATCAATTTCAATTTTATAGGTTAGTCTAAGCTGCGTAGATTGATCGAGAAGCAAGTGAACAGACCTTCACTTCTGATTCTGGAAATGCAGCCACATGCTTGTAGTGGCTCAGGCCAGAAGCTGGGGGCCACTAGAGCAGTGATTCTCAACCTTTTTTGTAGCAGGACTGATTTGTAAACATTGATGGCCAGTCCTGACCCAGTACCCCTCACTCCTGACCTGCTGCCTCCCACCCCCAGGCACCAGCCCTCCAGTGTGTGGGGCAGGGGGTGCATGTGTGGGGTGTGGGGCCCCAGGCAGCCCCTTGCAGGCTGGAACTCTGCCAACCTGCAGGGAAATGCCACGGTCTCCCATGTTTTTCTCTTTTTAAAGTTTCTTCCTGACCCTTTCATATATTCTTGCAACCCACTCTTGGGTTGTGACCCATGGGTTGAGAAACACGGCACTAGAGCAGGCGTCCCAGCCTTCTAGCCACTGCTGAAGAGAAGGGAGGGGAGCTGGGAGAGGAGCCCTCCAAGGCTTTTGCCCCCTTCCCTGCTCAAGTGGAGAGTGGGGGAATGGCCAGGCCCTGACTGGCCTGCTGACTATGATGGGGGGTTTAAACCCCCATGCTGGCCTGCGCTACACCGAGCCAGGGTCTGCTGTGTGGGGGGAGCCGGCCCTGCCCTGCTTGTTCTTGCTCCCTACTCGACTGGAGAGCATGCCAGTGGCCAGGCCTTAACCTGAGACCAACACACTGAGGTGGAGAGGTGGGTTTAAACCCTCTCCCTGCCCCGCACTGGACCCCAGCTGGGGTCTATAGGGATGTTGAACCCCCCACCCCCTCCTCCCCGACTCCAGCTCAGCCTGCTGGCGCTTGGCCAAGGCCTGGGCATGCCCCCCAACTTGAGCAGAGAACAGGGAAAAGCCTGGGGGGGATTGCCTCCCCATGGTCAGGCAGACCCTGGCTGAAGTCTGGTGTGGGGTAGGGTGGGGGTTTAAGCACCCCTCCTCCCCGCTAGCCTGCAGGGCCAGGCTGGAGCCTGGCCATCCTCTCTGCTTGAGCTTGGAGTGGGGAAAAGCCTGGCACGGACTGTTCTCCACAGCCAGGCAAACCTTGGCTGGGGTTCCCTACAGGCCAGGGAGGGGTTTTAAACCCACCTCTGCCCCTCTCTCCCTCATTGTGTTGGCCCCAGGCTGGGGCCTGGCCATTTCCTGAACTCAGGGGAAAAGACTGGGAGGGACTGCTCTCCACCCCGCCCTCTATCAGGCAGACCCCAGCTGGGGTCTGGAGCCAGGTTTGCCCACCATCACCACCCCCTTCTCAGCCTGCTGGAACAGTTATAGTGCTCTGGCTAGGGGGCAGAGGGATGGGGGCAACCCTGGTCTGCTGGAGCAGATGGCACAGCACAGGACTGCGAAACATCCTGGGATGCTGGAGGACTGTGAATTAACTTGAACTGGGAGGGAGCCTGGGACAGAAGTTCCATAAACTGGCGTGACCTAAATCAGTTCAGTCCTATCCTACATCCAGCCAGGTTTATTTTAAACCAATTTCGGCCACTTTGGAAGTGGTTTAAGTGCCCTGAACTTTTTTTGTGTTGTATATTTGAACCAGTTTTTGATTACTTAAACCAGTTTATATGTAACATCTGTCCCTAGCCCAAAGATCTAGAAATGTGGTGGTGGAAGAGAGGAGAGAGTGCTAATTGCTGTTCCCCTGCTGCTGAGTTTTTAGACTTGTGGGGAGCCCTGTGACCTGGATATGTGGCTCTGCATGCCAGTTTGCACCAGTGTGTGGCTGGATCTGGGCATGTGTGATTGGGCTGGCATGCAGCCTGCATGCGGGATTGGAACCATAGACCAATCCAATGTGTCAAAC